AACAATAACCAACGAGACTCATTCCTTCTGCGTAACCCATTTTAGCTGATTTCAGATACAATTCAAAAGCTTTATTCAAATTTATTTCAACACCGGTTCCATATCGATAACAATTTCCAAGACTATATGCTCCCAGAATATTTTCCATATTAGCAGCTTTTTGATAATAAATAAATGCCTTATTTTCATCCTTTTCAATTCCAATTCCATTTCGATAACAATATCCAACATTATATATTCCATCAGCGTGCCCAATCTCTGCAGATTTTTGATAATAAATAAATGTCTTATGTTCGTCTTTTTCAACTCCAATTCCATTTTGATAACAATAACCAAGTTGAAATATTCCATAAGCATCACCCATCTCTGCAGATTTTTTATAATAAATAAATGCTTTGCTTTCATCCTTTTCAACTCCAATACCTTGTCCATAACAATATCCAACATTAAATGCTCCGCTAGCGTGGCCATCCCTGCAGATTTTTGATAGTATTCGAAGGCTTTACGCAAGTCCTTTTCAACTCCATTGCCATACCAGTATTGCTCGCCCTTAGAATAAAGTTCTGCGCCAGTTTGGTTCATGGTTTAACATAAGACGAAAGATATATTTACTTGTTAAAAATTAATATAGCTTTATTTAATTATATGCGTTGAACAGTGTTTCTACAAAAGCAACCTTAATTTCTTTATTCAGAATTGTGTTCATAATTGTTAACCTTACGATAACGATAATTAAAAAACTTTTTAAATTTATAGAAAAATTTTTATTGTTTTATCCACAAACCATTTATAACATAACTTTGAAAATATTATTATTTAAGCAACTTGAGAAAAAAATTTAATTCGGATGATACGATATAAAACAGCCACTTTTTAGTATATTAAATTTACATTATTGTATTGTGCAGTTATTTGGATGTACTTTCAATTAAGGTTTAACTTGTATTAAAAAATATTAAAATGTATATGGCATTTTTTAACAGTTTTAATATATAATTTCTAATTATAAAATGATATTGTAAATCGATAAGTAGAAATAAGAACTAAATGTCAAATGTTGATTATACTTTATGCCATTTTCAAATTTCTTATTCAGTACTTTTATTAAATACCCTATTACCCAACCTAAATATTGCTTAATATTACGACCTGTGACCTGAACATTTATAGCCTAAATATTATGACTTGAATATTTAAGTAGTATGTGAGTAGTTTATCTTTATCTGTAGATCATATAAATTTATACAGATTCATATGCATAATTCTAGAAATAACCAGTAAATTCTCTGTTAGGTTCATTAAGAAAGGTAATTGAAATGCTTTAAAAATGTAGAATAAAATAAACCATTGTTAATAGAAATAAGGCAAATTGATATTTAAAAAAATCCTCACCTTACCTTTCCTAACTCATATTCCGATGAATTTGAAGTTATCATAATAATTTAATTGTTAAAAGAAATCTTAGATCTTAAGCTTTCTTTTGACTATTAAATAATTACAATAGCTTTAAAATTCATCTGAACATAAGCGTGAAAGATAAGGTAATAATTTTTTTAAATCTCAATTTGCCTTATTTCTATTGTTAGTAGCTAAATGAATTACTGATATCTAAATGCATAATCGAATATAAAAAAAAAAAATCTATAAACCCAATAGAAAAGTTTCTGTTGAAGAATGCATATAAAAATCGGTAAAAAGGGTATGAAAATAAGCTTGAGCAAATTTTCTCAGCTCACCTAACTACCCTCATTACTAGGTTAGGTTCTAAGATTTCTATAAATAACAGACTTCATTGTGCCAAAAACCATTTGCTAAAGCTATAATGATTTATTATTTTACATTCACCAGTTGTTACTTTTCTACCTTAATTGACCAACTTACATTGTTGAATAACCTGTTTTTTTGTCCAAAAAAACATACGACCTTGTGCGTAGGTTGTGTTACATAAATTACAATTTTACATCACATGTAATGTTCAGAAAACGAAATTTCATGTAATTTTCATCACGTTATACATAAAGTACCAGACTTACAAAAGCTCTGCCAGCATTATTGCATCGTTTGATTTAATGATCGATCCGAATTGTAACTCCTAAATCGCCGAAAGTTTGATCTCAAAAACTGTCATGTGTTCAAAATTACAATTACATGAAATTTCAATTTACCAAAGTTACGTAAAATTACTGAAATTTAACAACCCTACCTGTGCGTATAGTTGGTGGTAGAATTAATTCGGCAAATCAATACGGTTACGGCATGTGCCGTAATGTTATAGTATCGAAGCAATTCTTGAAGCATGAAAAACTTCTGTGCCAATCATTGTGGCGCAGATCTCCCATCTACAAATCATATTTCAAGAATCAGGTGTAACGTAATACGATCAATAACAAACGTTGTTTTGTCAAAAATTATATATTTCTCAAAAAAACCACTAACAAAAAGATTTTCTTGAGCCATTTTACTATATAATCATTTAGTCTTTAAGTTTATTCTAAACACTAGTCCTACTGTTAATGAACTTAATAGCATAACAAAATTGTCTTAGTTGATCGACGATCAAAAATTTGGTTGGAATTGCTGGATCTCCTTTAGTATAGGTGGGCACGCTACCACTAGGGGCAAACACCGATATAATAGTTAATTAAATTAAACGATTATAAAATTAAATAAGCTAATTAAAGTTAAATATTTAACACATGCAAGTCAATTTGAGTTTAAATCATATGGATCAGTAATTACAGATCTACAGATTAGATAATTTATTTTTTGGAGAAATTTATTTATCGTTATCAAATTTTATTACTTGTAGTTTTGATTTTGGGTTTATTAATGCTATTTTTCTTCTTGGTGCTTCTTTCCTGGCTTCTTCATTTGGAATTGGACTTTCAGTTTGGGTAGGTATATTTACTTCATTTGTTGTTTGGTTTTTTTACTTGTAGAATGTGTTTACTAACACCTATTCTTCTTTCCTGATGCTTCTCTCTTAGTTTCTTGGAATTGGACTTTTGATTTTGGGTGGGTATATTTATTTCATTTGTTGTTTGGTTTTCTTGCTTGTAGAATGTGTTTACTAACACCCATTCTTCTTTCCTAATGCTTCTCTCTTGGTTTCTTGGAATTGACTTTCAATTTTGGGTGGGTATATTTACTTCATTTGTTGTTTGGTTTTCTTGTTTGTAAAATGTGTTTACTAATGCTCATTCTTCTTTCTTGGTACTTCTTTCTTAGTTTCTTGGAATTAGACTTTTGATTTAGGTAAGTATATTTATTTTGTTTGTTGTTTGATTTTCTTACTTGTAGAATGTGTTTACTAATACCTATTCTTCTTTTCTGGTATTTCTTTCTTGGTTTCTTGGAATTAGACTTTCAATTTTGGGTGGGTGTATTTATTTTGTTTATTGTTTGGTTTTCTTGCTTATAAAATATGTTTATTAACATCTATTCTTCTTTTTTGATGTTTTTCTTTTAGTTTCTTAGAATTGGACTTTTGATTTTGTGTAAGTATATTTACTTTATTTGTTGTTTGGTTTTTTTGTTTATAAAATGTGTTTACTAATATCTATTCTTCTTTTTTGATGCTTCTCTCTTGGTTTTTTGAAATTGATTTTCAATTTTGAGTAGATATATTTACTTTATTTATTGTTTGGTTTTCTTGTTTGTAAAATGTGTTTACTAATATTTATTCTTCTTTTCTGATGCTTCTCTCTTGGTTTCTTGGAATTTAATTTTTGAATTTGAATAGGTATATTTATTTCATTTGTTGTTTGTTTTTTTTTGTTTGTAGAATGTGTTTACTAACAATCATTTTTCTTTTCTGATACTTCTTTTTTGTTTTTTTGAAATTGAACTTTTGATTTTGGATGGATATATTTACTTCATTTATTGTTTAGTTTTCTTATTTATAAAATGTATTTACTAATGCCTATTCTTCTTTCCTGATGCTTCTCTTTTGGTTTTTTGAAATTGACTTTTGATTTTGGATAGGTATATTTATTTCATTTGTTATTTGGTTTTCTTGCTTCTAAAATATATTTATTAATCTCTATTTTTTTTTTCTAATGCTTTTTTTTTGATTTCTTGGAATTGACTTTTGATTTTAGATAGGTATATTTATTTCATTTATTATTTGGATTTCTTGTTTGTAAAATGTGTTTACTAACATCCATTTTTCTTTTCTAATACTTTTCTCTTAATTTTTTGAAATTAGATTTTCAATTTTAGATGAGTATATTTATTTCATTAGTTGTTTGATTTTTTTGCTTGTAGAATGTGTTTACTAAAACTCATTCTTTTTTTCTGGTATTTTTTTTTTGATTTCTTGAAATTGAACTTTTAATTTTGGATAGGTATATTTATTTCATTTGTTTGGTTTTCTTACTTGTAAAATGTGTTTACTAACACCTTTTTTTTTTTCTAGTACTTCTCTCTTGGTTTCTTGGAATTAGATTTTTGATTTTAGATAAGTATATTTATTTCATTTGTTATTTGGTTTTCTTATTTATAAAATATGTTTACTAATGCTTATTCTTCTTCTTGGCACTTTTCTCTTGGTTTCTTGAAGTTGGACTTTCAATTTTGAATAGATATATTTATTTTCTTTATTGTTTGGTTTTTTTGCTTATAAAATGTGTTTATTAATACCCATTCTTATTTTTAGTATTTCTCTCTTAGTTTCTTAGAATTGACTATTGATTTTGGGTAGATATATTTACTTCGTTTATTGTTTGGTTTTCTTACTTATAAAATATGTTTACTAACATCTATTCTTTTTTCCTGGTACTTTTTTCTTGATTTCTTGAAATTAATTTTTAATTTTGAATAGGTATATTTATTTCATTTGTTGTTTGGTTTTCTTATTTATAAAATATGTTTACTAATACTCATTCTTCTTTTCTAGTGCTTCTCTTTTGATTTCTTGGAATTGACTTTTGATTTTGAATAGGTATATTTACTTTGTTTGTTATTTGGTTTTCTTGTTTATAAAATATATTTACTAATATCTATTTTTCTTTCTTAGTATTTTTCTCTTGGTTTTTTGGAATTGACTTTTGATTTTGGGTAGATATATTTATTTTATTTGTTATTTGGTTTTCTTGATTATAAAATGTGTTTACTATACCCATTCTTCTTTTCTAATACTTCTCTTTTGGTTTTTTGAAATTGATTTTTGATTTTGGGTAGATATATTTATTTCATTTATTGTTTGGTTTCTTGTTTGTAAAATGGATTTACTAACATCTATTTTTTTTTTCTGGTACTTCTCTCTTGATTTCTTAAAATTGATCATCATTTTTGAATGAATATATTTACTTTATTTATTATTTACTTTTTTTGTTTATAGAATGTATTTATTAATGCCCATTCTTCTTTTTTTGTGTTTTTTATTTGTTATTATAGTTTAAAATTTGGTTCTGTCTTGTTGAACATTAATAACTTCTGATAAGTCATTTTTTGCTTATAATTTTTTTTTTTTTTTATAGAATATTTAAAATAATAAGTTGTAAATTTGAATATAATATATAATAATTTATAAGTCATTTATTTTTTTTATACAATAAATTCTTTTAGTAAATTTGTTAATAAAAAATTGTTTATATTATATAAATTTATATTTTATGTAATTATTAGGATAAATTTAATATAATATTAAAATAATTTGTAAAACTAATAAATTGAATAAATACATATGTAATAAAAATATAAAACAATTTATTCAGGATAAGGATAATTTGTAATTTTTAAAGTATTAATAAAATCATCTAATATATTATTTTTATTTTTTTTTTCTATACAAATTCATGAAGGTGGTTAGTGATATCATCTTTTATCCTATTATAAGATGAGATTCTCAATTTGAAACCATTTTACAACTTCTTAATAATATTAGTATAAACACTGATCACAGAATTTACAAAGTTTACAAAATGTTTTACAATATTGTAGGTTATACTTAAATTTTTAAGCCTATTATATCTCTGTCATATGTCTGTATACATAATAGAGCTTTCTAAAACATGTTGAGATATAATTTCAAGTAATATATTAGCAGTCCTATTAGCAATTACTTCAACAAAACATCTTTTTTTCTCTGTCTATTCAACCCTACTAATAACCTACATCCTATCAATCTGGTAATCTTAATGATACTTTCTTTTGCCTAATATTAAAAATTAAAAAGTAAAAAACTAATTAGTTAATAAGCTAATAACAAATAAATTAAATCTTTTAGATAACTAATCAGTTAGTTGTAACTAATTAACTAAAAAATTAATTAATTACTCTTATCTATTTTAGTTTCATTCATTTCAACAATAACATAAGGCCCACCAATCATATTATTATTATTTTTCAGAATGATAGAAACAATCATCTTAAACAAATTTATATAATTTGTGATGAATGCTAATGAATAACCTGTTATATTTAGTATACTTGTGTATATAATTTTATTTAACTAAAGATAACCAATTAATATGGTGCTAGAACATTTTAGATGATTTCTTGAAAAAAATAAATCTTTTAATATAGAAAAAGATTTATAACAAGTATGATTAATATATCAATTAAGTTTTTTTTTATGATAAAATGAAGAATTATAAGAAGAACAAGATTGCAAATTATATAATAAATCTTTATTAAATAAATAATTAATACATTCATCTTCATCAAAAAAAATCTTATAAATAAATTTTAAAATAGGAGGTAAAACTATAACAGACATGTTTGAAATTTTTGATAAAAAGATAATAAACTTTTGTAAATAAAGTATATCCTTTATAATTTTTAGAGAACTAGCAAAACCAAATAATGCTATATAGCAAAGATATTAATATTAATAGTATTAGAGTTAATTTGATATAATGAAAGGTAATACTATTAAGGATGATAATGAAATGATGATATTAAAGATAGTAATGATTAGGTAATATTTTAATAAAAATAATGATATTAAAGAAGATGATCAAATAAGTTTGATAATAATTTTAAGTTAGTAATACATTTTACAAACAAGAAAACCAAACAAGAAACAAAATAAATATACCTACCCAAAATTGAATATCCAATTTCAAGAAACCAAGAGAAAAGTACCAGAAAAAAAGAATATGTATTAGTAAACATATTTTATAAGCAAAAAAACCAAACAACAAATGAAGTAAATATACTCATCCAAAATTAAAAACCAATTCTAAGAAACCAAAAAAAAGTATTAAGAAAGAAGAATGGGCATTAGTAAACACATTTTATAAGTAATAAAACCAAACAACAAACAAAGTAAATATATTTATTCAAAATTGAAAGTCAATTTTAAGAAACCAAGAGAAAAGCATCAGAAAAAAAGAATAGGCATTAGTAAACACATTTTATAAGCAAGAAAATCAAACAACAAACAAAGTAAATATACCTACCCAAAATCGATAATCAATTTCAAGAAACCAAAAGAGAAGCATTAAAAAAGAAAAATAAGTATTAGTAAATATATTTTATAAACAAGAAAACCAAACAACAAATAAAGTAAATATATTTATCCAAAATCAAAAGTTCAACTTCAAGAAACCAAGAAAGAAGTACCAGAAAAGAAGAATGGATATTAGTAAACACATTTTACAAACAAAAAACCAAACAATAAATAAAATAAATATACCTACACAAAAACAATAATCAATTCCAAGAAACCAAGAGAGAAGCATCAGAAAAGAAGAATAAGTGTTAGTAAATACATTTTATAAACAATAAAACCAAACAACAAATAAAGTAAATATACCTATCTAAAATCAAAAGTCTAATTTCAAGAAACCAAGAAAGAAGCATCAGGAAAAAAAGAATAAATGTTAGTAAATACATTTTACAAGTAAGAAAATTAAACAATATATGAAGTAAATATATCTGTCCAAAATCAAAGTCAATTTCAAGAAACCAATAAAGAAGCACCAGAAAAGAAGAATAGATGTTAGTAAACATATTTTACAAACAAGAAAACCAAACAACAAACAAAGTAAATATACTTATTCAAAATCAAAAGTCAATTCCAAGAAACTAAGAGAAAACTACTAGAAAAAAAGAATAAATATTAGTAAACATATTTTATGAACAAGAAAACCAAACAACAAGTGAAGTAAATATACCTATTCAAAATTGATAATCAATTTCAAGAAACCAAGAGAGAAGCACAAGAAAAAGAATGGGCATTAATAAACACATTTTATAAGCAAGAAAACCAAACAACAAATAAAGTAAATATACTTATCTAAAATTAATGATTAATTTTAAAAAACCAAGAGAGAAGCACCAGGAAAGAATAATAGATGTTAGTAAACACATTTTACAAGCAAAAAAACCAAACAACAAATAAAGTAAATATATCTATCCAAAATTAAAAATCCAATTCCAAGAAACCAAGAGAGAAACACTAGAAAAGAAAAATGAATGTTAGTAAATACATTCTACAAGCAAGAAAACCAAACAACAAATAAAATAAATATACCCATCCAAAATTGAAAGTCAATTTCAAGAAACTAATAGAGAAGTAGCAGAAAAGAAGAATGGATGTTAGTAAACACATTTTATAAGCAAGAAAATTAGAAGAATAGGTATTAGTAAACATATTTTATAAACAAGAAAAACAAACAATAAACAAAGTAAATATATCTACCCAAAATCAAAAGTTCAATTTCAAGAAACCAAAAAAGAAGTACCAAAAAAAAATAATAGGCATTAGTAAACACATTTTATAAGCAAGAAAACTAAACAATAAATGAAGTAAATATACCTACTCAAAATTTAAAGTCCAATTCTAAATAAAAAAGCCAAGAGAAAGTACTAAGAAAGAAAAAAGAGCATTAATAACTCTGAAATCGAAACTACCTAGTTTTCAATAAAGTAATAATATTTGACAAATAAATTTCTAAAAAAAATAAATATTTGACTAATATACATATAACTCAAATTGACTTGCAGAAGTTAAATATTTAACTTTAATTAGTATAAGCTAGCTTATTTAATTTTATAATCATTTAATTTAACTAACTATTGTATCATGTAATCATGTAAAACTAATTAGAGTTACCTACCTGTACTAAAGAAGATCTGTATAAAATTATATTATAATTTTTTATATTTGCCTACCTATTATTACAGAGTTGCAGCCTTCTTGATACAATACAACCAAGTAACAAGGTTACCCAGTACAGTAATTGACTATTGCAAATATATATTGGGTGGAGGTGTAGTAGTTTACTTTACTACACAGTAGTAGGCAAATGGTTCAAGATAATAACAGTATATAGATTAACTTTTTATTAACAACATACATGGTGACAACCTTGCCTGTAGGAATTACCCTAGAGGGAGAATATTGCACTTTATTATTAAAAGATCATTAGGTCTGGGTTGAAGTGTAGAAACTTTGAATTGACAGGAAAAGGTAAAAGGTACTCTTTATATATCTTTTTACCTAGTGGGAGTAGTAGAGGTTTGAGTGACATCTCTTGATACTGTACTTGGGGTAGTGGAGATTGTGCAGAGGCAAGTGGAGTTTGTACAAAGATAGTTGGAACAATGTTTATATGTATTTGTCATTTGTACTTGAAACATTTGGAGCATGTATCAAGGTACTTGAGTTTGTGCAGGGACACTTAAGATTGTATAGGGACATCTGGAGATTGTGTTGAAATACTTGGAGATTGTGTTAGAGATACTTGGGATTCTTGTACTATGGTATTTGGCACAGTAAATTGTACTAGGATACATGAAACTTGTGTAGGGGTACTTGGGGTTTGTAAGACAATAATG